TTGGGCTATGTCATTCTTTTAAAGGTTGTGCCCTGCCCCCTTCTCTCCTGTTTCATAACTACTGGACTGCCAAGGAATTCGCAATAGTAGTTTTATATGCATAATAAATAGTGGTTACCCCTTGGCATAAAGCAAAAATGATGATAGCAAAAACTCCTACATAGTACAGTGCTTACCATGTTCCAAGCATTGTTCTGAGTGTTTTAAATATATTAACTTGTTTAATCCTCACAGCAACTTTACAAGGTAAATGCTGTTATTATCCGTGTTTTGTTTTAGTGTTTTTTATTGTTCTTCATATGCTCACAATTAGACATCATAATCCTCGGTGCATGACATATTCCTCACTGATCCATGCATAGCTCTTTTAATTACTTTTAAAATACTAGTTATTTTTAATAAAGTAATATGTACCCTCAAATCCTCTACCTAAAATAAAATTAGGATCTTGTCAGTAATTCAGATCTGAGTATATGAGCTGCCCAACCCATTTCACTTCCTTCCCCTGGCCCAAGGTGATCGTAATTTAGAGTCCTAAGTTCATCATTCCTTTGCTTTCCTTATATGGTTTTATCGCTTCTATATATACAGTCCAAAAATTGTGTGTGTGTGTATAATATATATCTATAGTTGTTTTTAACTCTATATCTTCTTTTGGTACTTTTTTTACTTACTATTACATTGCTAAGATTCATTCCAATTGTGTGTTGCTACAGTCATTCATTTTGATGACCGTTTAACATCCCATTGTGTGAATATGTAGCAGTTTATTCATCCTCAAACCATTCTTTACTGAAGTACCTATTATATTCTCAGTGTAAAAGTACCTATTACATTTTTTTTCTGGTTATTAACTGGACTAACTTTGTCACATCCAGGTTTGCTAATAGCTTCATGTGATTTGAAGCTGTTTTAATATTGATGCCTCCCTTACATTGTCTACGATCTATTTCTTCCCTTGCCTTTTCAGGATACCGTGGATGGCTCAGAACATGACTAATTAACTCACTCCCCCAGGGTTGAACCTCCCTACCCCTGAGGTTGAACCTGGTAGGGCAGAGCTTCCAAAAAAACAAAACAGGGAATTCCCTGACAGTCCAGCGGTTAGGACTCTGCGCTTTCACTGCTGAGGGGCTGGGTTCAATTCCTGGTCGGTGGGGAACTAAGATCTCACAAGCCCGCGCAGCGTGGTCAAAAAACCAAAACAAAGGGCTTCCCTGGTGGCGCAGTGGTTGAGAGTCCGCCTGCCGATGCAGGCGACACGGGTTCATGCCCCGGTCTGGGAAGATCCCACGTGCCTTGGAGCGGCTAGGCCCGTGAGCCGTGGCCGCTGAGCCTGCGCGTCCGGAGCCTGTGCTCCGCAATGGGAGAGGCCACAACAGTGAGAGGCCCGTGTACTGCAAAAACAAACAAACAAACAAACAAAATAAATAAATAAATAATAAACATTACACACTTCTACTGAGTTCAAAAAGTATGATGTTAAAGTGAAGTGGAAGGATAAAAATCAACTCTTTCTTTTACAATATTGTTATATTAATTTTTTTATTTTTCTAGTATAGTTTATTTAAAAATCTACGTAGAGATATCTTTAACTTAAAAACCATTTAAAATGTTGTAACTATTCAAAGATAGAATCAGAATCTCTTCTAGTTGTATAGTAGTTGAAATGATGTATCATTTTCAGAAAATTTCATAAACAGAAAAGACAGACTTCCCTGGTGGTGCAGTGGTTAAGAATCTGCCTGCCAATTCAGGGGACACGGGCTCAATCCCTGGTCCGGGAAGATCCCACGTGCCTCAGAGCAACTAAGCCCATGTGCCACAACTACGGAGCCCACGTGCCACAACTACGGAGCCCACGTGCCGCAACTACTGAAGCCTACATGCCTAGAGCCCATGCTCCGCAACAAGAGAAGCCACCGCAATGAGAAGCCCGCGCACTTCAACGAAGTGTAGCTCCCTCTTGCTGCAACTAGAGAAAGCTCACGCGCAGCAGCAAAGACCCAACACAGCCAAAAATTAATTAATTAATTAATTAATTAAACAGAAAAGACTTTGCACTATCACCAACTACTTTCCATGGTAACATTTTTAGCTCTTGGTTCAGACTACCACAGAGTTATCCAGCAAACCTTGCTCCCATGAGGCCAGCAAACCATTTCTGGGGCTACGAACATATTGTATTAAAGTTACACCAGCCAAAAGGGAGCCAGTGGGATTTATTTAATGATCTGGATTTATTAGGAATTCATGGAACAACTATATCTTCATAAATTTATTTTTATTAAAATTATATAAGGGCTTCCCTGGTGGCGCAGTGGTTGAGAGTCCGCCTGCCGATGCAGGGTACGCGGGTTCGTGCCCCGGTCCGGGAAGATCCCACACGCCGCGGAGCGGCTGGGCCCGTGAGCCATGGCCGCTGAGCCTGCGCGTCCGGAGCCTGTGCTCCGCAACGGGAGAGGCCACGACAGTGAGAGGGCCGCGTACCGCAAAAAAAAAAAAATTATATAAGTGTAGTAATAATACTTAAAGGCTTATAATAAAAACTTCAGTCCTCTGTACTCCCCTCACCCCTAGTCATACTTCCCACAGGCAACCACATCAATTCTTCTATTTCCCCTCCTATGTACCTCTTTATCTCTAAATTATATCTCTAAATTATATACTTATACTGCTATTTCTTGATTAATCATTTTTAGTCATTATCTATTGACTTCCCATCATGATAGTGAGGACTTCTTATCCCATACACACATAAGCACTGCCTTTCCTCACAAACTCCCAACATGGTTGGGTCACCATGCATGATTATATCAAGACTACAACCGCATAAGTAGTGTTAATCACAGAGGAGACATGGTGGTGATTGGGCTATGGTGGTGGCAGTGGAGATGGGAAAAACAATAACTGATTCGAGAGATATGTGGGAGGGAGGGTAAATGGAACATAGTGTTTTTCAATGTAGGGGATGACAGAAAGGCAGGTACATGGGGAAATGGGCAGGTGGACGCTGATATTTACTGAAATATCAGAAGGTCGTAGCAGTAGGTGAGGGTGGGGTGGGAGAAATCGTAAGCTCAGTTTGGAACATATTGAGCTTGAGCAGTCCAAAGACAGTTCCCAAATGGAGGCAGAAGAGTTTAGTGTGCCGGTTTGGATCTCCAAGTAGAAGACTGGACTGGACTTGGGAGTCGTCAGTGTGTAGATGGCAACTGAACCACGGGAATAAGTGACGTTACCTAGGAAGAGAGTATAAAGTAAGAAGAGCATCTTGGTTTGTGCACTGAGGAGGAACATTTAAGAATAAGCAGAAGGAGGGACTTCCCTGGTGGAGCAGTGGTTGGAAATCCGCCTGCCAACGCAGGGCACACGGGTTCGAGCCCTGGTCCGGGAAGATCCCACATGCCGTGGAGCAACTAGGCCCATGTGCCACAACTGCTGGGCCTGTGCTCTAGAGCCCATGAGCCACAACTACTGAGCCTGTGCGCCACAGCTACTGAAGCCCGTGCGCTTAGAGCCCGTGCTCTGCAACAAGAGAAGCCACCGCAATGAGGAGCCTGCGCACTGCAACGAAGAGTAGCCCCCACTTGCCGCAACTAGAGAAAACCTGCATGCAGCGACAAAGACCCAATGCAGCCAAATAAATAAATAAATATTAAAAAAAAAAAGAATAAGGAGAAGGAAGCTAGTAAAGGGTCTGCTCTAATCAAGGCTCTTTTCTAGTCAAGGCCCTCTGTTAGGAGCTGTGGGATAAATAGAGTCTCTGAGCTCACAAATCTCTGAGGCAGATAAGGCACAAGTGGGTTGAGTGTTAAGACTGGTTTTAGAGCCAGGCAGGTGTGAGTTCAAATCCTGATTTTGCTACTGACCAGATGTACAGCTTTAGACAAAATAAATTAACTAACTTCTGTAATTCTAATGTCCTCATTGTTAGCCACTAGGATGACTATTGTAAGTATAAAATTTTATACTTTAAAATGGGTAAGATGGTAGGTTTTTTTACATGTATTTTACCAAAATTAAAAATAAAATAAAAATTTTAAATAATTCAAAAAAATGTCCTAATCATAATTGTTTAATAATGTGGTATTTTTGCAGTTCTGTTATTTCTGCTGGTTCTCACAGTGCCTTGTTCCTTGTATGCTCAGTTATTTTTCACTATGTACTAGTCATTGTCCCTGAAAAATTACTGATGGTGATACTTTGAGGACCAGCACAAAGATGTATCCTTCCAGAGAAGGCCTGAGTTTGCTTCTGCCAGGCACTTAGAGACACTTCAGTTTAGGACTACTTTAAACTAGACTTAAAAGTTTTTTTGGGGGGCTTCCCTGGTGGCGCAGTGGTTGAGAATCCGCCTGCCGATGCAGGGGACACGGGTTCGTGCCCCGGGTCTGGGAAGATCCCACATGCTGCAGAGCGGCTAGGCCCGTGAGCCATGGCTGCTGAGCCTGCGCGTCCAGAGCCTGTGCTCTGCAACGGGAGAGGCCACAGCAGTGAGAGGCCTGCGTACCGCAAAAAAAAAAAAAAAAAAGTTTTTTTGAATACTTCATGTAATTTGGGCTACAAATCTATAAAAATGTTAGTTATGGTTACAAAGTCTCAAGGAGAGTTCCCCCTGCCCCCCGCAGCCCCTGCATATGTTCAGTGTAGTACTAAGTTCACTTTCCTTGGAGTCTCTTGGGACAAGATGTGGGGGTAAGTTTACTTCTGATTCCCCTTTACTCTAATCATAGACCTTGTGGCCATGACTAATACAGGGAAGGCCTTCTAATAGACTCCCCACCAGGACTTCCCTGATGGCTCAGTGGTTGGGAATCTGCCTGCCAACGCAGGGGATATGGGTTCAATCCCTGGTCCAGGAAGATCCCACATGCTGTGGAGCAACTAAGCCCGTGAACCACAACTACTGAGCCTGCACTCTAGAGCCTGTGCTCCGCAACAAGGGAAGCCACCACAATGAGAAGCCTGTGCACCGCAACGAAGAGCGGCCCCCACTTGCCGCAACTAGAGAAAGCCCACACACGGCAATGAAGACACAACACAGCCTAAATTAATTAATTAATTAATTTAAAAAAATAGACTCCCCACCTTGGTGGACGCTGAGCTTTAATTTCATTCCTCCTTACCCTACAGAGTTCTCATAATGAAATTCAAGTTTGCCCAGATTGGCAAATACCCTCAGAGCAAATTTGACTTTCATGTTTGCTTACCTGTCCCAATTCCTGAATTCCTATAGTCTTTGGTCTCCTACCTCTTATCTTGTCATCTCTTCTGTGCTTTCAAGAATATTTTTAAACTATTTTATACAGCAGTTTTTAGTTGTTGGGGTTTTTTTTTTTGGCAGCAAGTTGGCCCCAATAACCTTAGCAATCAGAAGACCCTCTGCTTTATCTTTTCTTCCTTTTTATTGATTTCTGTTCTTTTATATATTTTCTCCCTCCTTTGTTTTTTGTTCTTATCCTTGGTTGTTTTTTTTTTCCCCCTTACTTCTTGGGTTGAATGCTTAGTTCATTATTGCCTTTTCTTTTTCCATGATAAGGCTATTCTATTCTAAGTTTCTAAATTTCCCTTAAAGTACGCCTTTCATTGTATTCCTTAAGTTTTGGTATGTAGTGGAGGAGTGATTGCTCAAAGCCTAATTGTCTTCATCAACTCACCCCAGCAGGGCTATTGCGCTACCCTGATTTTTTTCCTGTGATACCTGTACTCAATGTCTGGATAATGCGGCCAATTTTCCCCATCAGGGGGCAGCAATGGTTGCCCAAAGCAATGCTGGAAGAGATAAGAGCATAATTTAAACTAACTTTTTCTGGGACTTCCCTGGCAGTCCAGTGGTTAAGACTCCACGCTCCCAATGCAGGGGGCCCAGGTCTGGGAACTAAGATCCCACGTACTGCAGCTAAGCCCACGTGCCTCAACTAGAGAAGCCTACAGCCAAAAATAAATAAATAAATTTTAAAAATATGTAAACTAAGTTTTTCTATTCAGTGTTTTTCAATACTGCCTACATATGAAAATCACAGGGAGGTTTTTAAAAATACTGATACCTGGGTCCTACCCAGAGAATGTTCTAATTGGTGTGGGGTGCTGACTTTCAGTGACTGTAATGTGAAGCTGGCATTGAGAGCCACTTCTCCAATTTATCTGCTCACTGCCACCAAGGCCCAGACTTCATCTCCCTCCTCCCCACTCACACTCCCAATTAATTTTAAACAGTCTTCTGCCTTTCTCAAAGCTGTTATTGCCTGGTTTCCGTGTTTCTCTCTATTGTTTCTCCAAGTGAATTTGGGGAAGGAGGCAGAAACCCTGGTAATTTACCACATTGGCAGGAATCAGAATTCTCCCCCATGTTATTTGTCTTCACAGGAGGTCTCAGCATGAGACGGCAGCACTGGTGTGGGATGACTGCCAAAATGGGCTCCATGTTATCAGGGGTCTTTACCATCATGGCCATCGACTTGTACCTCATCTTCGAACAGAAGTACTTAAGGAGAAGCAATTGCACTGAGCTTACCCCACAGACCAAGAGTACAAGTATCCTGATAAAACAGTTCATGATCTGCTGGAGTTTGACTATCGTCTTCTTCCTATCTTTCATCACCATCATCATCTGCTTCTTGCTCCTATACTCAGTATATGCCCGTATGTACAAGGGCCTGGTGATCTACATCATCTGGATCTTTTTCTATGAAACTGTAAACATTGTAGTACAAACGCTTACCAATGATGATTCTAACATTGGAGAGGTCAGAATCATGCGCTGGTTTGGTTTGGTGTCCCGTATATTGGTGCACTGTTTTTGGATGTACTTTGTCATCACCTATGCCTACATGATCTACGAAAACCAAAGCCAGGGCAATATCATTTCCTACAACAGACGTATTTCTACAGGCAGTGAATTCCCACGGCGGAAATCAAAGATAATACACTTTACCCACCGGCCACTATAGTGAACGACGTTGGCCCTTTTCCGTGATAGGCAGATCTCCCAGGTTCTCATGGTAGTTCAGTTTCCATCTCTTTCACTTTTCAGCAAGCAGAGACTCTACTGCCACTCTTTTGGGGGGATACGGAGAGAAAAGTGATTATAGTCACAACTGGAACACGCTGCTCATTAAGGATGTTTAGTTAAAGGACACTGTTATTATCAAGCACTCTGTGAGTTCCTCTTTCCTTGTCTTGTCATTACCTCCTTATTGGTCAAAACGAAGAGGGTGAGGAATGAAATCAAACTGAATTGCAGTCTGGCAATCCTTTCATCTTGGTATATCTTCATCAGCCTTCAACCCACAGCTCTCTGATTTAACCCAGCGACAGGCAAACCTGTATTTATATCTGAGTGTCGTAGCGCAAAGAATAGTGTTGGGGCCTTGAGGTCGCTTTGTGTTATGGTTTTCCCCCCATGTCCTCTATACTATATTCCAGATAAGTGAAAGAATAAAAATAGAGAAAAATCATACTTCATTTTCTGTCTTGACTCCCCACCCCCCACATTTTTCAAGGAGCACAAAAGACACTTGTGGTTAATCAAAAGGTATTTGTTAAACTTTTCTGTCACTGTGCTGGACACTGCAGGAGGATACAGAAAAGTATAAAATATGAGGCCTGGCCTTGAGGACTTTTCAGTTTAGTGGGAGAAACGAAATCATGTTTATGAATCAATTAGCCAACCACATAAGACAGTACAAGATTACACACTATCACATAACAACAAACTTCACTTTGAATTCAGGTTCAGAAATTGTCAGAAGCAGTTTAAACCAGAATGGAAGACAAACCAAGCAAACCTCTACTTCAAACATTAGACATTATGTTAAGTGTCTGTTTACTTAATAGCTTTCTTGAGGTATAATTGACATACAGTAAACAGCACATGTTTAAAGAATATAATTTGATGAGTTTTGACACTAGTATATCCCAGTGAAACCATCACTGTAATTGAATTGGTGAACACATGTATCACCCCCAAAAGTTTCCTCCTAATCCCTGTCTCCTGCCCCTTCTTGCATCACACACCCCCGCCATCACAAGGCACTGATTTGCTGTCCCTATATATTAGTTTGCATTTTCTAGAATTTTACATAAATGGCATCATACAGTATATAATCTTTACTTTTTTTTTTTTGGCCTGGCTTCTTTTGCTCAGCCTAAGACCTTAAAGATTCACCCATGTCATTATGTATATTGATAGTTCATTCTTTATTGCTGAGTAGTATGCCATGGCATGAATGTACCACAGATTGTTCATCCATTTGCCCACTGAAAGACATACAGTGGTTTGTAGTTTGGGGCAATTATGAATAAGAACACTATAAGCAATTGTGTACAAGGCTTTGTGTGGATTTATGATTTCATTTATCTTGAGTAAATACCATTTTTACTTTTTAAGATACTAGCAAACTTTTTTCCAGAGGGGATGTACCATTTTATACTCCCAGTGTATGAGAATTCCAGTTCCTTCACATCCTTGCCAGTACTTCGTATAGACAATACATTTTTCATTTTAGCCATTCTAATATATATATATTTATATATATATACATATATACATATATATATATATATATATATACACACACACATAGAGAGAGAGAGAGAGTATATAGTGGCATCTCATTGTGGTTTTAACTTTCATTTCTTTAATAACAAATGATGTTGAGCATCTTTTCATGTGCTTATTTAGCATTCTTATATCTTTTTTGGTGAGGTGTCTGTTCAAATCTTTCGCCCATTTTTTTGTTTTATTCACTAGTTTGTCTTATTTTTTAGATTCCATATATAAGTGAAAACATACAGTATTTGTCTTTCTCTGTCTGATTTCACTAAGCATAATACCCTCCAGTTCCATCCATGTTGCTGCAAATGACAAAATTTCATTATTTTTTATGGCCGAGTAGTATTCCATTATATATGTATGAATATGCATATTATATATATAATATATATATATAGGAATATATATATAATATATATTCCATTCATCTGTTGATGGACATTTAGGTTGCCTCTACCTTTTGGGTATTGTGAACAATGCTGCTGTGACTATGGTTGTCCTCAAGTTTCATCCATGTTGTAGCATGGGTCAGAATTTTCTTCCTTTTTAAGATTGGGTAATACTCCATTATATGAATACACCACATTTTATTTATCCATTCATTCATTGACGGGCATTTGGGTAGATTCCAACTTTTGGCTATTGTGACTAGTGCTGCTGTGAACATTGGTGTACAAGTATCTGTTTGAATCTCTGCTTTCTATTCTTCTGGTGGGTATATACTCAGAAGTGGAGTTGCTGGATAATATGATAATTCTATTTTTAATTTTTAGAGGAACTGTCATACTGTTTTCCTCCACAGAGGTACTATTTTACATTCCACCAACAGTGCACAAAGAATCTAATTTCTCCACAACCTCCCCAGCACTTATTATTTTGGTTTTTTGATAGTAACCATCCTAATGGGTATGAGGTGGTATCTCACTCTGTTTTTAATTTGCATTTCCCTAATGTTTAGTGATGTTGAGCATCTTTTCATGTGTTTATTGGTCCTTGTATATCTTCTTTGGAGAAATGTCCACTGAAGTCCTTTGCCCATGTTTAATCAGGTTATTTGTGTTGCTGTTGTTGGGTTATAGAAGTTCTTTATACATTCTTATTTATCACATATTTGATTAGCAAATAATTTCTCCTGTTCTATGGGTTGCCTTTCCACTCTATTGATGTGTCCTTTTTTAAATTTTATTTATTTATTTATTTTGGCTGCAAAGGGTCTTAGTTGCAGGATGCTGGATCTTCATTGCGGCATGCAGGATCTTTGGTTGGAGCATGTGGGCTCTTAGTTGCGGCATGTGGGCTTCTTAGTTGTGGCATGTGAACTCTTAGTTGCAGCATGCATGCGAGATCTAGTTCCCCGACCAGGCATCGAACCCAGGCCCCCTGCATTGGGAGCGCAGAGTCTTACCCACTAGACCACCAGGGAAGTCCCTTGATGTGTCCTTTTATGCATGGAAGTTTTTCATTTTCGTGTGGTCCAATTTATTTTTTTTTCCTTTTTTCCCCTATGCTTTTGGTGTCATATTCAAGATATCATTGCCAAATCCAATTTCATGAAGCTTTCCCCTTAGTTTCATAGTTTTAACTCTTAGATTTAGGCCTTTGACTCATTTTCAGTTAATTTTTGTATATGGTGTAAGGTAAGGGTCTAACTTCCTTCTTTTGTGTGTGGATATCCAGTTTTCCCAATACCATTTGTTGGAAGGACTGTCCTTTTCCCCATTGAATGGTCTAGTCACCCTGCTGAAAATCATTTGACCATATGTATTAGTCTGCTCAAGCTACCATAACAAAATGCCATAGACTGGGTGGCTTAAAAAACAGAGGCTAGAGATACATGATCAAGGTGCCAGCAAATTCAGTTTCTGGTGAGAGTTCTCTTCCTGGCTTGAAGATATCCACCTTCTCTCTGTGTCATCGTATGGTCTTTCTTCTGTACACAGGTTGGGAGACAGAGTGAGCTCTCTGGTATCTCTTCGTCTTTTATAAGGATACCAATCTTACTGGGTTAGAACCCCACCCTTATGACAACATTTAAGTTTTATGACCTCCCTAAAGGCCGTCTCTTCAAATACAGTCACATTGGGGGTTAGGGCTTCGACATATCGATTTTGGGGTGGGGGACATAATTTTGTCCATAACACCATATATACAACAGTTTATTTATGGGCTCTCTATTCTATCCTTTATGCCAGACATTCACACTGTTTGATTAATATAGCTTTGTGACACATTTTGAAACCAGGAAGTGTGAGACCCTCAACTTTGTTCATCTTTTTTGAGATTGTTTTGGTCATTGGGGGTCCCTTGAGATCTTATATGAATTTTAGGATGGATTTTTCTATTTCTTAAAAAAAATCCTGTTGGGACTTTGATAGGGATTACATTGAATCTGTAGATCGCTTTAGGTAGTATTGTCATCTTTTTTTTTTTAATAAATGTATTTATTTTATTTTATTTATTTTTGGCTGCGTTCAGTCTTCGTTGCTGCGCACAGTCTTTCTCTAGTTGCGGCGAGTGCGGGCTACTCTTTGTTGTGGTGTGCGGGTTTCTCATTGCGGTGGCTTCTCTTGCTGCAGAGTATGGGCTTTAGGCACGTGGGCTTCAGTAGTTGTGGCTCACAGGCTCTAGAGCGCAGGCTCAGTAGTTGTGGCACACGGGCCTAGTTGCTCTGCAGCATGTGGGATCTTCCTGCACCAGGGAACGAACCTGTGTCCCCTGCACTGACAGGCGGATTCTTAACCACTGCGCCACCAGGGAAGCCCAATATTGTCATCTTTTTTTTAATATATAAATTTATTTATTTTATTTTATTTATTTATTTTTGGCTGTGTTGGGTTTTCATTGCTGTGTGTGGGCTTTGTCTAATTGCAGTGGGCAGGGGCTACTCTTTGTTGCGGTGGGTGGGCTTTTCATTGCAGTGGCTTCTCTTGTTGCGGAACTCTAGGTGCACAGGCTTCAGTAGTTGTGGCTCACAGGCTCTAGAGCGCAGGCTCAGTAGTTGTGGCGCATAGGCTTAGTTGCTCCAAGGCATGTGGGATCTTCGTGGACCAGGGCTCGAACCCATGTACCCTGCATTGGCAGGTGGTTTCTTAACCACTGCTCTACCAGGGAGGTCCCTGAACTTCATTATGTCTTGAGACCAGGTGTGATCTCAGTTAAAAGACCATGGGGGCTTCCCTGGTGGCGCAGTGGTTGGGAGTCCGCCTGCCGATGCAGGGGACACAGGTTCGTGCCCCGGTTCGGGAAGATCCCACATGCCGCGGAGAGGCTGGGCCCGTGAGCCATGGCCGCTGGACCTGCGCGTCTGGAGCCTGTGCTCCGCAGCGGGAGAGGCCACAACAGTGAGAGGCCCGTGTAAAGCAAAAAAAAAAAAAAAAAAAAGGCCATGGGTTCAAGTCCCAATCTGAGTTACACGGTTTCAAAACCACTTCTTTCTGCCCCTCTCCCAGCTCAGCCAGGTAGAAACTCTACTCCAGACTGGTGCAGCCAAGAACACA